CCCCCCCCCCACCTCCCTTCCACCTCCCACCACCTCGCCCGCCCCAAACACTCCATCCCCCGCCGGGGGTTCCCCTCACAGCCCTGCCCGCCCTGCGGTGCCTCCCGCACCCCTTCCCGCGGGGTTCCTATTGGGATCCATCGCAGGCCTCGCGGGTCCGTGTCCCTCGCCCCCCCCGGGAGCACCGAGCGCATCCTCCCTCCCTCGGCCCTGCTGTGCTCTGCCCGCCCTGTTCCTCTCTCAGACCCCCCTCACGGGTGGCCTCCGGCCTTTCCCCGCCTGGAAACCGCCCGCTCTCCCAGGTCTCTCCAAGCCCCGTCCAGCCTGGCCTTGGACACTTCCAGGGATCCAGGGGCAGCCACAGCTTCTCTGGGCACCCTGTGCCAGGGCCTGCCCACCCTCGCAGGCAGGGAGCGGAACCCCCCCTGGATCATCTCCCTTGGCTTTTGCCCTCCCATAGCGGCCCCCCCCCATCGTTTTCATATCCCCTCCTCTGTGTCCAGCGTGTCCCAGCCTGCCTGTTATCCGCCCTTTTGCTTCCCCCTGCGTGTCCCTCTCCATTTGTACGGACACCAGCCCTGCCCTCCCTCACCCCACGTGCGTGTCCCTTCCAAGCGCTCGGTGCCTGCGGACTCTTTGCTCCCCCAGGAACAATCCGGCGCTCTGCTGAGCCCCACCAGGGAGGTATTTTCAGGGTGTTCCAGAGCCAAAGCCTCTCTGTGGACCTGGACAGGTGGTGGTGTGTGCCCGGGCCGAGCTGTGCCCTGTGCGGTGTCACAGCAGCGGGGTCAGCGCGGTGTCTGATTTCTGAACTTGGCCCAACTCCCCGGCTCTGACCCTGGGCACGGGTGGTGTTTTTGTGTGTCACGGACAGCCCTGAGTGTGTGTCCCCCCCCCCCCCTTCGGTGGCCTCAGATATTTAATGCAAAATGTCACAACCTGGAGAGCGTCTGAGCTCTTCAGGCGTCCACAGATCGCTGTATGTTTCAAAAACATCACCATTTATTTCTGCTTTAGCAACATTGTTCGGTGTCGTGGTGGTAAATTACCGAAATATGGAAGTGACCTTTTTCTGCTCTTTGTTACAAGTCATCCTGATTGTTTTCACGAAGTTGTAATCACTTTGTATCATCTCCACACAAATCACCTGCCACCCTGTGGGGTTTATAATTTGTTTGCTTTAAAATACGTTTTATTTTCCTGGGGAAGCCAATCGTGTTTTGCACAGTTATGTCTGAGAATGGTTAACTATATTAGCCTGGGCGGCTTCTTCTCATCTCCAATGGCTAAAGAGGAGTGTGTGGTTAAAATAAGAATAAAAACAGAGGTCACTGCCGGTTTAACAACTCTTAACTGATGAAAACTGAGATTATAAAAGAGTGTCCTTCAGAGCAGCTTTTGGTTTGGTGGTTTGTTTTTTTTTTTCATGCTTTATCTCTCAATAATATGATGTGTGATATATACATATAATACATGAGATGGTGTGTTAGAATCTCACACAGGGGGGAATTTCAAGGACTGCTTTTAAAAGCTGTAATTCCATTTCAACACGTTACTTTTGTGTCTGACTAGATCTAAATACATGTAAATAAATGAGAAGATCTAAATACAAGATACAATATAGCTGGGATATTTGAGGAAAGGTTAAGGCCGATGGAGAACAACAAAGTTCTCGTGGAGTTAACTTGTTAAAAGCAAAGTGTGAGAGACTTCAGCCTAATCCTTAAGGAAATGCTTTGGGAAAGCGAACTAAGGAAACTAAAATCATTCTGCCCTCAAAATGCAGCTGTGGAAAGATGAAGATCATAACAGTGAGGAGGCCCTTTCACGAGGAGCAGTCCCTGCTGTGTTGGTTCAGGAAGTTGGTGGTGAGCTGTCGAGTGCTGGCCTGGCAGATTTGATTTCAAGACATTGGGAAGGGCAGGAGGGAGAACACAGGGAATCCCTGGTTGACTTCCCGCCGCTCAGGAAGGCGTTAAGTGCAACTTTGTGGCTTCTTTAAGTCAATCCGGCTGCCACCCCCAGCTCCCTTCTCCCTGCTGACACTTGTAACCGCGTGGCAAGCTTAAATAATAATAATAATAATAATAATTAAAAATAAAGCCAAATCACTTGGTTGATCTGGTCGGCTGCACAGCATCCCACTCTTTCCTGGCACATGGGAAAGGGGTGAAGGGGTGAGAGCAGCGTGGACTGACTCAGACAGGCTGCGGGGACGTGCTCTGGATAAATAGGTCAGTTTTCCAGCCTGGATATTTTTTTTGCCCTGTCCCTAATCCATACGTGGTGTCACAGATTGCTGGATGTTTAAGCCACTTGGCTCTTGGGGGCTTTTTTGGAGCTTGGGAAATGCCTGAAAAGCCCGTTAACTCATCCCCCTTGCCAAGCTTTTCTGGGATACACCAGGAATGTCTGCAAACTGTGTGTTCTTTTACAGACTGGTGGTAGTGAATATGTCAAAGTCTTGTGAGTAATGGTGATCACATGTGGCACAGAAATACTTCTAGGCTTAGATTTTTATATCTTTTTCTAAAATTAGCACATTTTCCAAGATAAGATCTCAAACTTTCTTAAATTTAAAAGTGCTGTGTGGTGTTGTTTTTTTTTTTTTTTTCACACCAGTGTAACCATGTATATCTAAAAACCTGTTAACAGAAGATCAGGTTAATAGCAGTTAATGCATGTTGGCTTATTAATACTGGGACACCTTAACAGTTCAGGAAAGATGATCATTAAGGACTGGAGTAATTCAAGGAATTTAATGGAAATTATTTTCCCATTGAATTTTAAACAAAAAAAAGAACTGGCATACATATAATGGGAACACATCAGCAATTACCATTTTATTTCTTTGCTAAAAAATTAGCATATTTACTTGCAAGCAGGCTGAGCAAACTCATATTCTTGATGTATTTAGGATTTTTTTAGGGCTCTCCATGGGTTTTTGTAATTAAATTAGCAGCTTGTTGACTAAGCAGCCATATTTCCCTTTTTATTATGCATAAAAACTGAGCTC